TATAAAATTTTGATGAGAATTTTTTATATTTGAAAGCTGTTGAAGTATTATAATTCTTTTGTTTAAGGAAAAAATCAAATAAAAATTTTCTTAAAACTATCACGCTATCAAAGGTTTATTATAAAAAATTAGGGCATTTACGTACATACCACTAAATTCATATGTTTCACATAGCTTGGACCTAACTTTTTATATTTATACCACTCAAATCTTACATATCACATCAAAAAATACAACCATTTTAACTTTTAAAAAGTGAAATACCCCTTTTCATCCATATGTAATGTAATTTAAATAAAACAATTAAAGTTTAGGTGTTAGATATGTAAATACATAGGAATCGAATGGTATGTATGTAAATCTTCCTAAAGAATTACTTCCCACCATTAAAATTTCCAAAACCAATAAAAAATTTATAGCTAAATAGAAGTGTGGCAACTATCTGGAAAGTAAAAGTGTGAAAAAGCGATCCCAAATGAGCCATAAATCTTATTCAGCATTCACGAAAGAATTTCTAGAGCACTTACCAATGCTGGAATGAATACAAACAAGGAGTATCCATATAGGCACCAAAGTTGCACAAGTCCTAGAGGTGCTGAGAAGTACTTGAGAATAATGTATAATCCAAGAGGAACAAAGGTGACATAACCATAGAATAAACCAGCAGACCATGTGACCAAATTAATGTCATAATCCCATTCCTTTTTCTGAAACTTGTGTGCCAAGTACGTGACGAAAGTCCCTATTGAAGCTGCTATAAATATTAAAGTTGTGCATATCCAAAATGGCCCATACCTGCAAATTACGCAGATAAGTAGTAACAACCCATTAAAGCGAATGCACATAATAAATAAATTAAAATTAAAAACAAATGTACATCCAAATAGAACAGAAAATCAAAAAGTAAAGAATATGCAAAAATACCAAATATATATAAATAAATAAATAAATATATAAATATATATATATATATATATATATATATATATATACACACATAAAAAGATGTAAAATGTAAATATGATATAAAAAAT